AGCTAGAAATCACAGTTACAACACATTGTTGCACTATTCACACCAGAGTCAGAATATATTGCTATCACTGAAACAGTTAAAGAGGCTTTGTGGCTTAGAGGTCTACTTCATGAACTGTGTATCTTAAATGATTATGTGGTTGTGTATTCCGATAGTCAATCTTCTATACATTTATGCAAGAACCCTCTTTTTCACGAATGCATTAAACACATTGATATTAGACTACATTTCATTAGACACATAGTATCACAAGAGGTAGTAAGACTCGAAAAGGTTTACACATAATACAACCCTTCAAATATGGGCATGAATGTGCAACCACTAATAAAGTTTAGAGGCTGCAAGGACCTTCTAAACATTGGAACATGTAAATGATTTTCAATTTTATTAGTTTTCTGTTAGAGGTGTCACTAATGGGGGATGTTTTTCTTTGCAGGTCCTTTGACACCAATGTGGAGGTTGTTGGGCAAATTGTTGTCAAACGACCTCTCAATCGATGATGTAAACCCGATTATAATTATCAGTTGGCTTTGCTAATATGATTGAGTGATGTATCAACACCAAAATTAGAACGATCCGACCCAAGAAGTAATTGGACCATTCAAAGCAACCAATTAGGTTGTGTTGCTCATGGGCCAATTATCCACCTACTTGGATGGCTAGTATTACTAGAGGCCCATTCTACAAACCATTAACTCCTTATTGGGTCCATGACCTATTAACTAAGCCTAATGGACTTGCTTTATTGGGCAATGGTCTACCTATATATTCTTGTGATATACACGGCCTCTACAAGATTTGTCTCCTTCTTGAGCATTCTTCGTGTTTTCTCTCTTCCTCTTTCTACCCTCCCTTTGTGGTGACATTCTTGGTGGTTTTGCCTCTCCTTTGTGGTGGCCTCTAAGTGAGATAACATCTAGTAACCGTAGGTGGAAACTTAGTGGTATTCTTCGGTCATTTGATTGGTGGTGTTGATTTGGGTTTTGGTAAACTAAGCATGTAAAGCTTTGGTGGTTGATGATTGAAGACTCCACACAGACGATTTGATGCTCCTAGCTAGAGGGGATGTTATTTCTATACGTACCTTAATGGATTGTCTAGCCAAGTTTGGAGACGTGTCTGGTCTTAAGATGAACTCATCTAAATCCAGTTTATACACGGCAAGTACCTTTGAACAAGAATTGGAGAAATACAAGGTGTAACAAATATTTCGAAAGGCACTATGCCATTTCAGTACTTGGGTATCCTCCTTGCTACAGGGAGATTGAAAGTTAAACTCGTTTGCCTCCTTTTGTGATAAAGTTGCTGCCTATATAAATGATTGGACGAGTACCTCTTTGTCCTACGTTGGAAGAACAAAATTGATTAGGGCTGTGCATTAGGGTGTGGAATGCTTTTGAATTTCCATCTTCCCAATCCCAGCAGCTGTAACAGACAGAATTATTTGATTATGAAGAAACTTCCTAAGGGGTTTCTTGGAAGCCACTTATTGCCTAGAAGGAAATATGCTTAGTGAAAATTGAATGATGACGGGATTCAGGGACATTAAGAGTTGGAACACAGGTCTGCTTGCCAAATCTTTGTGGAGCGTGCATGATGAATCGAAAGAAAGGAATTCAAGCGAAAATCTTAAGAACAATAAATTTGATATCCACCAAATAATAAAGAAAAATAAATTCTCGAATTTATTAATGAAAGATAATTAAAAAAAAACGAACTAAACCCTTATTTATAAGAATTTACATGAAAACGTAGTTTAGAACAATTGAAAGTAATGAAAAAGAAGTTTAAACAAACTGGAATTGTAAAAAAAAAAAAAAA